TTACATACGGAAAGCATGGAGAGACACAGAGGCGTTAATCGTCACCCCCGAGATCAAATCTAATCAATTAGAGGTGGCCAGCTGGCACTCGAGCGGAGGCATGTCAGCGACAAATCCTTCTAACAGATCCATCCATCTAGACATCCGCCCATTCACCCAGCAGCTCCTTCACTCCTTTATAGGGTGAGTGTGTGAGGAGGGAAGTAGCTGTGTTTGTGAAGGGGAGGCTGAAGGTGAACTGTTTGGTGGATGAATCAAAAAAAGCAAGTGGGCACCAGAGCAACATGAAATATATTATATTTAGTTACAGGGGCAAGATTTTATGCATCAAGTCAAGTTTATTGTCACAAGGAGTACTAGTTGTTTTCAGTAGGGAGCTGTCTGTAGTCTGAAAAAATAACCCTGCTGACATTCTGCTTTTTTCTTCTCAATAAATCAGTCCCTCCAGGATGTTGTGGGCTTTTTTGGAGGATGGTTGTGGCTTTGTTGCAGCTTTTCTAACAAATTGTAGGTGAGTTTTTTAGCGATGAAAGTGCAGGAGCATTTGAAAACTGCAAAAATGAATTGCATTTTCTTTTAATAACTAATTTACAGCCGAAGGTAACCTGCTCCATTGATAATAAAACTAAACTACTCTGAGCCTGTGATTACTACTACGCATGCATACTTAATCTACTTAATCTAATTCAGTTCAATTCTTTCAGCACGTGCATGAGATGTGAATGTACAGCCTTCGTCATGGGGATTCGTCTTGTCTGTTGGCCACGCGTTAGCTGCAAGCGGTGCAAAACATTTAACCTCTGATTTCACACACAACATCAGGAAATTGCCTTGTCTTTAGCCGTAATGTTTGGTACACATAAAACATTTGTGCTGAGTTAATGTTCCGTGAAGTAGCTCGACTAAACCCTGGCATCTTCTGGTGCTCAGACGACCAACAGCTAGAATGGTTGTTTAATTCTGAAGAGTTTAATTTTGCCAATTTAGTTGCCAAAGCCTGGACGAGAGGGCGAGTTAGTTTGTTTGTTAGTACTTTAGTACTTTATTCTGTCAATGCTACACAGTAAATGCTTGTCAGTGATGTTCTGATTATGTATGATGTAGGGATAGATCGATATGGATTTTTTAGGGCCGATGCCGATACCGATTTTTTTCCATCACCCTTAGCTGATGACCGATTATGGACTGCCGATTTTCTTGAGCCGATATTTGGGGCCGATACTGCTTTTGCTCCCTCAATTTACATAAAAAAAATGACACAATGATAACAAATATTACAGGTCTCAAGTTTAAAATAAGAAACATTTATTGAACAGGAAAAAACACTAAAACAAGATGGAAAGTTGAGGTAGAACAGGTAGAATATTATTATTATTATTATTATTATTATACATTCAAATAAAAAAGAGTTCAGTGCTCTTAAATCTTCCAGTAATGTCTTATATAAATAATAATAAATATAATAAATAAACAAATATTTAAGCTGAAGCATAAATAAAACAACAACTACTGTACACAGTAGGATTTGCTGCATGTGCGCTGCAGGGTCTTCCGGCAACACAGAGCTGCCCGTGGATGCCTGTCTGTAAATCATGCCAGGGAAAAATGAATCCACGAACCCACGCACGTATCGGCCGATGCCGATACAAGTAAAAAAACTCAAATATCGGCCGGCCGATGTATCAGTCTATCCTTAGTATGATGCTTTTGTCGCTTTGTGCAAGTTTCTGAAAATAAGTGCGCTGGACTTTGGTCTTGGCTTATATTGATTTTATGGTGTCTTATGAGCCTATGCAGGCTGTGCATAACTGTCTGTATGACTCAATAATGAAAAACTCATTCAGTCATTCTGCATCTTCACAACCAGGAATAAGGAAGTTTGGTGACATTGTGCATTTTCATCAATGCACCTTACCTCAAATTATGAGACGTACAGTAATTATTGTTTATGGCCTAATGGCTTCGCAGTCGAATGCATAGATAAATTATAAAACCCCAGTACAATGAAGAGTATCTCTCCTGCATAGCTCCTGCTTTGTGGTGATCAGACTGGGCGGTGTTAGAGGAAGCGAGGCAGGGGTCTAGTCTGGCTGAGATTTACTTCACTTGTCAGAGTTGAGGGCGCTATAGTGGTGAGCAGAAATGAGGGTGCAACTGTGCATTACGCAGCTATGTTTTGTTTGACTTTGCCTTTCTTTTCTTTTCCCTGGGTACCTTAGTTTGCTTTTACAGCCAGTAGGCAATTTGAGGAGGTACAAGGGGGGACGCCATCTCTCTTACTAGCAAAATGACCAGACACCAGACACTGTTTGAAATGGGAGATTCTTAGATTTCAAATAATATCAGTATTGTTCTTGTCCGCCAAATATTGACCAAAATATGCCACATTACATAACGAATGTCCCCAAAACCAGTATTTGGAGAAAAAGGACTTCAAAGGTTGCAGAACGGTGACCGCAAAGATACGTGACAGAGCCTATTCCTTTTCTAAACCTAGAGCGAATGTTGTACTCTGAGGTTGTCCATGGGTAAAGATAAAATAGAAAAGCTCTGGGACACTTTTATTTTGTAGCCGATGAGGTACCAAAAACAAGCATACCCAACAACAATGCAAGAAGATGAGAAAGTATGTTGAAAGAACTGCACCTGTTGGACAAAGCTAGCATCCACAGTTAGCAATGGACTTCACAAAACAATAAACACAACCTGATTTAATTTTCTATGATTCTTTTGATCCATGGACCCTTTCGAGTGAAGGTATAGAAACTATCGAGGAACAGACACATATTTGGACTACTGCAAAGGTAGGGGGTCTGCACTTACTTGTGTTTGATGAAATGAATGGTCCCCCCTGTTAAAAATTAACAAATGGCAGAGTGCTAACAGCAAATGTTTGAATTAAAAGTTTTGTACACAGCGAAATGTCCAACTTAGTGCAAACAAGATCGTGTTGACGATTCCTTAATAACTTAATTTAGGGGATCCTTATTAATTATTTTGTTTATACAGTTAAGTTAAGAAGTCAACCGATAAATCAGATTTTTTAAAACTCTTATATATTGGCATTTGCCCCAAGAAATCTAATAACTCTCCAAAATCAAAATGATCCTCTCTCCTTCTCTCTTGTAGGCCCAGTTTCTCTGCACCCGAGCACTGACAGGAAGCAGTGGAAGTGGGAGAGTTAGAAGAATTTGGTTTTTGCGGGGTCATTCACTCACCTGGCAACAGGCCAAACAGGACAAACTAACGCAACATCACAAAAGGCACAAAGAGCGAGGGAGTGGGTTCCACCTGCCCCAGCGACCACAGACAGCTCTGAGCTTCACAGGGAGTTTCATCTGAACCCTGTCTGCTGTCTGTTTCTTATCCGCCCCTCCGGCACTACTGTAGCCCGACAAAAAACACTCCTTAGAGCTGCCCATGCAAATGTAAATGGCCGAGAGTGAAATGTGTGTTTATTTTGGCCCGTGTGATTTGACAAGCGTGAAATTAATTCAAAAAGGTTGGTGAAGACGGGCAGCAACACAGAAAACAACCCCCTTTTCTCGCCTTGATGGGGGCTTTTGAGGGATGTCAACTGCAACCCACAAACCATTTAGCTGTCCTGCATGTGGGGCTCTGAAGTTGTAAATCGTGTTAGCATGCCTCCATTCTCACTCGCTTTTCCTTCACACGGCGCATCACACATGGCACTCACACTCACACAGTGGTCCCCACGGCAGGGCGACTGGGGGCTACAGACTGATCCTCCGCTGATATGACCTAGTTTCTATTCAAGCCTGTCTCTCTTTGTTCACTCCATGGTGGAGGAGGCTGCTGCAGCCTGTGGAACAAAGGACACAAGCAGCACTTGGAGCCTTCAAACAAGCTGACCCTGCCTAGATACAGCCACCCCGAAAATGGCTCACCAAGAGCAGTGCCGCTTGGACTCCCACTGTCTGGAAATCTCCTTTTTTTTCCTACTTTGATCTACCTCCGCTGCAGACGAGGGAGGATAAGCCCCAGTTCCTGCAGCCTTCCACCCATTCTCCTATTCTCCCGGCGCAGAGTGATGAGACAGAGATCATGGAGGTGGGAGGAAGCCTGAATTATCAATCTGGGGACTGTGGGGACAAGGGGGGAGGGAGAGGACTTATTTTATGTTTTCATTGGGCGGCATCAAGAAGTTTGGATCCCTGCACCAGGAGAGGATCCCTACATAGGGCTTAGTCACTTCATACAGACACCAGACACCTTGTGGAGATTATCTGCCTCAAAGAATAAGTTGTGGGTCTAATAATACCTCTGCACACATTCCTGTAGCACAGGGACATTAGCAAGTTTAAAAAGCACACACATCCAAGCAGTTGTGTTTGGCATTTCCTTGTATTAAATGTACCTGAAGACTCAATTACAGAACCCTCCATTTAACAGTGAAGCTGTGAACAGACCATTTAGTCTTAAATGACCCAAATGCTGCAGCCCCTCACCCCAAAAAGGCACATCTGCACAAGCCAGACAAATTATGCTTCAAGGGCAACAGCAGCATTTTAATAAGGACCTGCAACTGTTGCTGTTTTCGTCAAATCTGCCAAATGAGGCACAAAATTGTTTGAGGTGGAGCGGTGTAGGGGCCTGATGAATGAATGCAGCTCTGCAAGAGACGGCGAGTGAGGAACATGCAATCTCTGCACAGCCAATATGACAATCTGATGGGGACAAGGGTGGTTATCTGCAGCCGGCCCAGGAGGGAAAAAATGAGCACACGGTGAGAAATAAACCAGGGAGAACAGAGGAAAAGGAGAGGACGGAAAGGTATAATTCAGGGTACAAAGCAGTACAAAAGCAACGGTGCTAAGGCAGCAGAGACAGAACTAAAGAAGCTACCATGCGTTGGGTTTGGTGCCTCTACAAACTGTGAAACAGTGACTAATTTTTGTTCAAATAAATGCACAAAAACAAACCCCCCAATGCAGATCCTGGAGGGACGCCATTTTTAGAAAGAGTAAATAGCAACGTACCTGCATGTGTTCTGTTGAGCTGCTGCTCAGCTCGTCCCCAGACTCCGAGTCGTTGTGGAGCTTGTTCAGGCGATCTCCCGGCAGCTCGCTCGGCGGGGACGCCTTGTCACTGTCTGGACTTTTTTTGTGGTTGTTCCCCACTTTAAGCGGAGGCGAGTCTGCCCGTGTCCTTGGCAATGTGGAATTGTTGGCGTGGTGATGGTTGTTGTTGTTGTGAAGAAGTACCAGTTCGGCTACCACCTTGCAGTGATGGGGGCTCATGTTCTGGTTAGCATCCTTGGACAGAGCTGGCGGTGTGACACGATCAGAGGATGGCGACGGGGTGGAAGAAGGCGACGGACGCCCGAAGCTGGACATTTCCGGCTGGGCTCTGTTCAGGTTTTCATTGGATGCCCGGCAGATATCCAAAACAGTGGGCTTGGCCCTCAATGTTGGCTTCTGGGGGGGCATGAGCGCCCGGCGCACCTCCCTGACGTACTGCGCCGGCACGTAAAAGGCCTTTGTGCCCTCCTCCTTCCTCACCTGCCACCAATCCTCATTGGTCTTCTTCACCAGCATGTAGCACTCTCCCTGGCGGATGGTCACCATCTTGTCTTTGGCCTTGTACTCGTAGTCGTACTCCACTTCAATGTAGATCTGGCCCGGGGCGATGGGCAGCCCCTCCCTGTCAGCCATGACTGCCGGAACAAGCACTTGAACTTTGATCTCAGCTGCTCAGCGACCCAGGCCTGGGGGGCTCCTCATGTCTGACTGGGGGAACTGCTGGACTGCAGGAGATAACACAGACAGGGAACAGAGTGGTTTTTTTCCAGTTAAATGTCACAAGCTATATTTTTAAAGGCACAAGACCTCAGAGACATGAATGTACACCCACCAAACCACACAAACACGCTCGGGTTTCATCGTACAAACTTCCCAGCCTGTCACAGCTCGCCTTATTACTCACCTGATAACCACAACCACAAAGTGCTACTGCTGCAACACACTCACATGATGACATGATCTACTACCAGACGGACATACTCGATTGGTGAGTCGAATAAGGAGCACCACATGACCACCCCCCCTCTGATCATCAAAAACCACAACAGACAGCCAACACTGATTACTCTGGTAACCAATACCACTGCTAAGGATATCCAGTGCTGTAACCTGATCACCCTCTGCGGTACTAAAGGTGATGACAACATGACCCCAAAGATCCTGCCTGCGATCCAGTGACTACAATGACTCCCTGGAGCTTACCCTCCCTCAGAGACTGCCTTCAAAAATAAAGTGTTGTTTCGTAGAGTTCTGCTCTGCTGTTTGACTTCATTACTCATTAATGCAGCTACAAGACAGCCAGAAACCTTTAAAAAGCTTTGGGTGATCTTCTCCATATATTATACACAGTGTGTGAGTCAGAGGACAGCTGGGCTGTCGCCATTCCTGCAGGGTTTGTTTTGGGATGAGGCCTGTCATTGATCCGTCTGTCAGAGAGTCTCCCTTCGTCGGTTAACCTAAATAAATTCCGGGGCGCTCCCATAGCAGAGGAGCTGCTACCGAGCCGCGACTCCCCTCGTATCAAATTCTCCCTCATCCTCCCTGAAATAGCAGCCGCCGTGGACCGACATCCTGGAAGTGCAGGCAGTAAAAGCAGGTGCTTTTAGTGAGGCGTGAGAACACGCCGCTGAATCTATAAGAGGCCCATCCTTATGTAAAGGAATATGTACACACACACACACACACACACACTGAAGCTCAGACTGACAGATACACACCCAGAATAGATTTAGGGTGGTGAGAGCCGTCTGGGCCAGAGTGGGAGTCCTGAGAGATGGGCCGCGTGTTTGTAACGGGTTTAAATTGGTTCTGTTTTATCTGTTTCAACACCGCGAAGCACACACACACTCAGTGTTACATCATGCCAGTGTTTCTGGTGTGTGTGCCTGACAGCAGTCCAGTCCGGGCCTGTCCCAGTAGGAGCCATGATGTCAACACACACGTGTCCAGGATGACTGTCTCTCTTATGAATGACTGTCTCTCAAGGAACAGTCACTGTCTGTTTTGATTTGTGTGTGTATTAGAACGAATGTTGGGAATCAGCCACAAATCCTGGTGTGACCCGACCTCTTCAGACGCCATCTACGCTTCACACCATCACCAGAGGTGCCAGAGATGTAGTCAGGAGTCTGTCAGGGCTTCAAGTCACGCACATGATAACAGCAGCACTATCACTGCTGCGTGACAGCCACTGTCCCGTCCTCCTCACAGTGAAGTCACTGTGCTACACTGAAGTAAATATGGACTGTGTTCCTACTGTGTGTGTGTGTGTGTGTGCTGCACTCTGAGATAAAGGATGAAACCTGCAGTAAGCAACATGACAGCGCCCGAGGCTGAGAACGTCATGCTGTTAGTTTGTCCAAAGATAACTCTATCTGCTGGATTACCGCAACTGTCCTCTTCACACCATTAGCATCTGAAGCTGGAGGCACTTATTCAAAAGATTAAGGATCCCAAATATACACCAGCACGACCGAACCACTTCCCACACAGTGTCGAAGAGCTCATCACTCAACTAGGGTGCCAGGAAAACCCAAACTTCAGATGCAACGATCAGATGTAGAGTAACTTTAATTGTCTCTTCGGAGGCTCATCAAAACCCTGAGAGACCTTAAAGCTGGCCGGAGATCAAGCATGACATCAGTCACCTTCACAGGGGCCCACAGCTGAGTCACTCCAACAAAAACTTACTGTTAACCATAAACTGAAACCGACTCCTCGGGCACAATACGACACAAATTTACAACTCAACCCCCCCTCCTCTCTCTCTCTCTCTCTCTCTTTCTCTCGCTCTTTCTTAACTACTGCGGTGTCTCAGAGTCCTGGCACTGGACCCAGGAGTAAATTTTGCTGCAACAGAATGGGCATCAGAGGAAAGTGAAGTCTCGGAGAAGTGCGGCAGCCAACTTGTTGCTGTGTGGTGAGTCAAAGGACGCCGCTCATGTTTGGAAGCAGGTTGGCACGGCTCGGCTCAGCAGTGAGGGAGCAACTATTGTCCGTGTGTCTTTATGCAACAGAGCCCCACTGTCCTTTCTGACAATTTGGGAATCTGAAAGTGGTTTTAAAAATGAGGCCTTTTCCTGGATGTACACACATCACTTGTACGTTATCTCACCCTCTAACTCAACTATTGGATCGCCTTAAATTAAAGAAAACACTTTTTAAAACTGCAGTGCTTCACCTGATCTGTCATGGCTACGATTTTGGTCCTGATGTTGCTCATCTATAGACAAATATGTCCTCCTATAGATGACCTCAACCTACAAACACACTGGTGGCACATAATGGTGGTGAAATGTCCCTATGGTGTGACATACATATGCAGACATCATAGTAATATAGTAAGAAACTGCATAATGGCAACACACTGTCACTTAGCACTCCATCAGAGGAGTAGCTGGCAGAGATTGAAGGTATGCATGCATTAACACAGAGATCACGACCTGTGCTTTTGTCTGCAAACATCTGCAGCCCAGCAGCCACTGTAGCAGCAAACACCCTGAGACTCGGACTGCCTTTGTCCCTGTGCTTCATTCAAAACAGATGTGGCCGAGCAGCATCCACTCCAGCATGTGCTGCTGCTGCTGCTGCTGCTGCTGCATTTCACTCCTATGCGGGCTCTTTGCAGCATAATGTGGACACGCACTGCATGAAAACACTGCTCCTTTGTAACCGTGCACGGTAGAAGCCCTGCAAACAAGCAGCTTGGGTCTGTGAATGGTTGAGGGCTGAGCGGCCAGAGCCATGCCCGGGGCCGGGTGGCGGTGGTGGGGAGGGGGCATAGGTGGGGGGCAGGGTCCCTTGCAGCCCCACAGGCTGCAGAAAGACAACACAAAGGGAGTTTAATCCGTGTGCATTCACAACAAAGGACCAAGACTCGACATCACGGAGGAGTCCCAGGAGCGAGGGAAGGGCAGGGACGTGGCTGCCGGAGAAAGCCCCCCCTCGAGCGGGGACAAATTGCCAAACACACCGCGAGGAAATCAGCTCCGCAAACCTGTAGGTGCCGCACAGGCTGATGTTATCACGTGGGGTGTTAAATTACCCAAACACGAGCCAACACACAGGTTATTTGTGACACTTGCGTGACCGTTTCCACGCACTCGCTGCCCGCTGGACAAAAGCACTGCAGGTTCACTCGGATACAAACCCTCGGATCTGCAACAGCGTGCATAGCAACAAAGTAACTCCGACACACAGGAGCCAATAGCCGCTCTGTGACCAGGCGACACACACCACACTGACACACACTCACCTGTGGGAACTCCACGGGTGTCTCCCGGTGCTCCGTGGACGGAGTTAGCAGCAACTTTTCCCACCTATTTCACTGTCGGCTGCTCCGACTCTCAGTCCGCTGCAGACCTCCAGTCAGTCGGTCTGTTCGCAATCCCCCGCCTCTCTGCGCGCTGTCAAGTGCACTGCGGCGACACACGACACATCCGGTCACTGCCTTCAAAATAAAAGCTTTAAATGGGGACCCTAGCTCAGCATGTTTTGTTTGTAGGGTCAGAGCGGCTAGAAATAATTAATAAAATATAAAAATTTGCTGTGAAGCATATTAAAATGTATTTATTTTCAATTATCTTCCCTTTGGTCATAATTTTCTGTATGTCATTTTTTTATTCCTGTATATTTCTCTTGTATATTTTAAATTTTAGTACTTTTTATTTTTGTACATATTTTATATTTCTATTTTCTCATATATTTTATTTTGATTTTTATATACATTTTTTTATATTTTATTTTTTATTTCTTGTATTTACATGTATATTACTGTTTGATTACATGCTGCTGTAACACAAGAATTTCCCAGTTTGGGATCAATAAAGTACTATCTACCTATCTATCTACCTATCTATCTATCTATCTATCTAGTGGGGTCTGTTCCTGTAATGATTATACTTTTTTAATTCAATTAAAGCATGAAGAAGTCTAACTATGTATATGTGCATAGGTGTAGATTTCGCGGGGGGGATGCCCTTCAATATTTACAACAGGTGCGTTTGTCCCCTCTCACAACAAACATGAAAGTAACAGAGGACTTTTATTTTTGACACAATCAATGACATTTACTCCATAAATTGATTCAGTTTCAGTTTATTTAAGAAGATAGTGCAAATTAATAGATACACATGGTATAAAAAAATGTAAAAAAAAAAATAAAAATGGGCACACAGTTTAAAAGACTTATTCTAACACATCAATGAGATAAAGAAAAAAAAAACAAGAACAGGGCATGCAATTTAAAGACTGGAAAAGGACATATACATTTTAAAAGCACTTGTGGCAGAAGTGACATATAAACAACTAGAGCAACATGTCAAAACAAGCAGGACACATAATTAGCAGCAGCAAAAAAGACTTTAGTGCTCATAAAAATTCTCTTGAATGCAGGAAATTAAGTCTTGAAAAAAACAAAATCCAAGGCAACTCTTGCAAAAGTTAAAAGGCCTTTATTAAATGGCTAGTTCATGATGAACATTAAAATCACCAACATGTTTCGGCCATGCTCACTGGCCTTCATCAGGGCATAAGCACATAATTAGCAGCAGCAAAAAAGACTTAAGTGCTCATAAAAATTCTCTTGAATGCAGGAAATTAAGTATTGAACCCCAAACCCTCCAATGTCGAAACAAAGGTGTAGGTTTTGTTTCATTTTGTGTTATTTTATACATTATGTGTGATTACATGGACATGCACTACCCATTTTGAAGGGATATCCCACACTCATTGAAATCTTATAAATGATCCATTCATGCTGGCTGGAGGTTGCTGAAATGATCAAAATCACTATAATAATTGTAGTAATATCCCCAGATACATGAGTCATGCACGGTGATTCAAAAAGTGTCTACAACTTTGTAATATTTTTTTAAATACAATTTTAAAGCTATAGAGTGCAAAGAATTGTTACCTCAGAAGGTTGAATGCATCCTTAAAGTGTGATGTCATCCACCATTAAGGTACTGTTTCCATGTGTGAGCAAATGTTGCCATTGTTACATAGATTATGTTGCCGTAATCATATTTTGGCAACAGATTGTTTTATTTTGAAGGGGAGTTCCGCCACCATCCGGTTCTTGTCAGTGTGTTTCCGTTCCCCTTGACGCACTTGTGGTCCTTCACCCAGCAGACGCTGGTCTGTCGCTCCCACCCCACCCGTCTGTCAGCGCTGATAGACGGCGTCCACATCCCCGCGGCCGGCCTGCCCCCTCCAGGTCCAACACCTCACTGTCCGGTGCTTCCCAACATAGGGTCCGCGGACTCTCAGGGGACGTTGACGGAGCTCCAGGGGATCCCGGTTAAAAACTGGATTAGTTTAAATTTCACTTTTGCTTAAAACCAGAATAAATTCCATTGCAAGTCTAATTAATACAATTAATTAGTTGCATTATTTGATGGGATTATCATTGCCCTATTTTTAAAACCACATAGCATAATTAAACTTCTTAGGATAAACATGTAAATTCGCCCCCCCTCTCTCCTCAGCTGAGCTGTAGCCTATCTGGCAATCACAGCAGGGAGTTCCACCATCCAGGCAGGATCATGAATGATTTAGTGCTTGGATGATCCAGGAACTCAGCAAGTCTTCAATGGAGAGCCGTCACTAACACTATAGAGGGACGGAAATTAGCCTCAGGCAACAATACTCCACGTTTACATTATTGCAGAATAATATATGAACAGCTGCACTGTAATTTAATCTCATCACTTCTCAGTGTGTATTAGTGTACACTGTGTGTGTGAAAGCACACCCTGTTGGTGTAAGGATTGAAGTGACAGGCATGATGAGCATTGTTGGTTTCAGTGTTGTTTTGAGATTGAAGGACTGATAATGTGACTGTTCTGGGAACAACACAGAATAGTATGGCGATATTGTATCAATACACAGACACCAAATATCAATTTATTTTTATTACATCATCCTGAGACCCGGCGTTCTCATATGAGGACATCACATTCTGGGTTTACTTGAACTGATACTTCATTTTACTTAACTTCAACTTGATGTCCTCATCTGTGGACACTTTTTGTGCCATCTAGTGGTGGTAAGAGCACAATTCACTAATCCATCTAAAAACAAAATGGCAGCCATCTCTGCCAAGTCACTCTGCAGCTAATACCGTAACAAAAGTGGACAAGGGCCAAAACCTGATCACATTTTATGGCTGAAACTTGTTTATTAATTAGACCAATTTAAGCAACAGCAACAAACTAAGAAGCTGTTAATTAGGAAGTACTCGTTTGCAGACGATGGGAATTTTTCATCACCTCATCGAAGGACGTGGGGACTTTATCATCGTCTCCACTGAGGAGCTTTATTGTTCTCTTGTTTGAGGATATTGGGACTTTATTTATTTATTTATTATCGTTGACAATGTTTAGTTTTTTATACTTATCAGGTCCTACTGAAAAATCAAAAATGCATACCAAACAAAAGTTCAGGTCTCAGTAGTGCAAATATACATCCTAATACAACTTTTGGTACTAGAATAATAAAATCAGTTGCTTATTCAGTCCACTAGATGGTGCTGATGTGTCTCAGTCAGCGGCATTTGGCAGGAAGTTCATCAATTAAAGATGGAGGCACCAGGTAAAATCAGAAATGTGCCGTCAGCGTTTAAATCAAACTTCTCGACTTATTTTGGATTTTTTAACACGGAAGGAAAGGAGGACTTGGAAATGACACGTGCGATTTGCAAGCAGTGTCATATGAGAATAAAATATTCTAGGAATACTACGAACCTGAGGGCTCACCTCGCACTCCACCATCCAGAGATAGCGTTAGGCGCTGACGGCCAAGAACTGTACACACTTTACTCGACACAACTACTAGTGATGGACCAAATGAAGCTTCATGAAGCGTTGTCTTTATTTTCTGAGCCCAATAGATGGCGCTTTTTGTTCAAGAATAGGTCGAAAGCACACTGAATTGCCATTCTTTGAGCCTCTCTCTTTAAACCATGAGCGCCATCTAGTGGGCTCAGAAAATAAAGAAAATGCTTCATGAAGCTTCATTTGGCCATCACTACCAACTACCATCCAACTCTGAGAGAGTGAAGAAAATAACACAATTTCATTACAGTCAAACACATGAACCACAATGAGGTTTCCACTTTAAATTTATTATCTCTAGGGGGAAAACATGACGTGATGGTCAGGGTCAACAGAAAACTTGTGAAAAAGGTCGTACAGTGTTTGTAAGGCACTTAATCTGGACACACTGCACAGGCACGTACACAATCATTTCAATGACTTGTCAAAATTCAATTAACGATGACTAACAGTATGGTCTTTTGTAAATGAACAGCAAAATAAGCATTTAAAAATTCTGTGAAAACATTTAGTGTGTGTTAACTACATTTTTCTTTGGAAGTTTCAAATTTAGAGTCTGTTCAGTAACAGTATCAGTGCATTTGTTTCGTCAGGAGTGCTAACAAGGCTACAGAGCTGACAGAGTGTTACAGTGTAAGTATCAGTCATCCATTTTTCTACTGTAAATTCAAGCGTTTCCAGCTCAGTCTAGACACATCAGCGACATTAAAACAAAACATAATTAAAGGTTTTACCAAACAAAGTAAACATAACTCTTGGCTGAACTCTTGCCTGCAGCTATCAGGCATAAATTACGTTCGTATCCACCCACTCCAAGTGCCCTTCCTGCACCTGACCCAAAAAGCAACACTGCTGTAGACACTAATGGGAACGATGGTGGAGAGACATTTTGTCAAAGAATAAGCTTGTGCATGCATCCACTTGCTCTACAGGTGTGTTACAGTGAAACATTGTCCACCAACTGTCTACCAATTTGTGGTTAAATACACAAATGGATGGTTAAAGGGACAGTTCACCCTGAAATCCAAAATACATATTTTTCCTCCTACCTGTAGTGCTATTCATCAGTCTAGATTATTTTGGTGTGAGCTGCCAAGTGTTGGAGATATCAGCTGTAGAGAAGTCTGCCTTCTCTCAAACATAATGGAACTTGATTATCGGTTTGTGGTACTCAAAGCACCAAAAAGAAACGTCTCTTCCGGAAATCATGACCCGGTTACTCAAGATACTCCACAGACCTTGTTGTGAGCAGTTTCATGTAGGAACTATTTTCTTTCTGCTGAACCACACCCGCCAACAGTATCACTGTGCAGAAGGAAAGGTGCATCTACTGAAAGCTCACCTAGCAACACTGAGCTAGCTTAAGTTACAGCTCAGCCGAGGAGGACGCCATCAACAGGTTTTCCACATTTTTCATGGACAAAATTTCCAAACTTTCCCCTGACTTTTCAAGCACCCATAATTAGATGGGTTTTTTTCCCCACTTGCCTGGTGTTTGTCAAACATATCAGATTCAAACTCTATCTTACTATATAATGATGAAAACTCTGTGTGTGTGTGTGTGTGTGTGTGTGTTCCATGTTTTTCTCCTCACTGCTTGGTCAATCCATGTGAAATTTGGCACAGTGGTAGAGGATCATGGGAGGATGCCAATGAAGCAATATTACATCAATTGGCCAAAGGGGGGCGCTATAGCAACCGATTGAAATTGAATGGGCATATCTCATGCCCCGTATGTCGTAGAGACATGAAACTTTGCACAGAGATGCCTCTCCTCATGAGGAACACATTTGCCCATAACTTCTGCTTTTGAATTTTTTGAAAAACACTTCAAATGGATCTCTTCCTAGGAAGTTTGAGCGATCTGCATGAAACTGGGTGAACATAATCTAGGGACCAATATCTAAAGTTCCCTCTTGGCAAAAGTTGGAAAACTTGCTAAAACTGAGCTTCTATAAGGCAATGAATATTGCGGAGGGCGTGGCTCATCACATAAAGGTGTATAACATCTCAAGGGTTTCACCCATCACCACGCAACTTTGTAGGCATATGACCACACATAATCTGAGGGGAACCCTCCATTATTGACCCCATCAAACAAAATGGGGGCGCTAGAGAGCTCATTTCTTATCTAGGCCTAACCGCCATATGGATTTTTACTAAACTTGGTAGATATGTAGAACAGGACGCCTCAAGGTGACTGGAGAAATTTAACTCTAATTGACAACTGGGTGGCGCTATAACAACAGAAAAATGCTTCAAAATGGCTAAAATGTGACCGATCGCTGTGGCTCCCCCTGTGGACCCATGTTGGTGTTTCTAATTTTTGGTATGACTAAGTCATGGTATGGTATGCTGTACATAATCACGGAAACTGTCAGTGTGTCATTCTGTCAGTCAGTCTTTTTGTCTGTCCCACGTTTTTCTACTCACTGACGTGGTCAATCTATGTGAAACTGCACATAGGCATTGAGGATTGGCATAGGTAGACAAAGCTACCAATGGCTATGGACTAGTTCAAACATAATTTTAGCTAGCGGGCATACATGGAGGGAAAGATATAGCGCAGGGAGACAATCAAGAAACGTACATGATGGTAAACTGAACGTTGTCTCACACACACAACAATATGTCCACAGCTACAGAAACTAAATATGCTGTTATGTTACATTCATGAACATTATTCCAGGAAAAGTACTGCAACAATTTCATCACATGCAGCAAAATTCCAAGACTTTTCCCTAACTTTTAATGGTTTTTACTAATTCCTTGACTTTTCCAGGCCTGGAAAATTTGAGCGTGAAATTCCATGACCCTGCATTAATTTTTACATTTCGTGCTATCATGAATACAAGCCTCTCATCCATGAGTAGATGCACTCTTCCTTCTGTGCAGTGATACAGTTGTCGTTCGGTAGAAAGAAGATAGTTCCTACATGAAACTGCTCACAACAAGATCTGTGGATTATCTTGAGTAACTGGGTCATGATTTCGGCAAAGAGACATTGCTGTTGAGTTTTTTAAATCTATTTTTTTGGTGCTTTGAGAACCACAAGCCGAGTGCCATCTGGTTCCATTATATTTGTGAGAAGGCAGACATCTCTACAGCCGATATCGCCAACACTCAGCAACTCACACCAAAATTAACTAGACTGATAAATAGCACTACAGGTAAGAGTACAAATATGTATTTTTGATTCTGGGGTGAACTGTCCCTTGAAGACGTTCATTGGCACATAACAATGACAAATAAGCAGAAGAGAGGAATCCCCTGAGAAATGTTCAAAGCAAAGCATCGAGAAATAAAGCCAGTGCCCTCTAGTGTCTTCTTATGTTCGGGGGTCCACCGAGATCTAAGACTAATACCTGTTAAGATGCTGTCAACAGAGCAACTCGTGGCATTATGTGTTGTTTTCATAAGGCACTAATGTGGTTTCTTGTAGAGCCAGAGGCGCAAAGTGCTGCACAGTACGGCCATCGTTATATACAGTATATACACACTTTGACGTTGGGTGAATGGTGCGGCGGTTCCTGGTAAAAGTTCAATATTTGGGGCTGAAGACTTCTCTGGGGCTTTGGCTTGTTGTGTGGGTGACTGTGTTCCATCCTCAACAGCTGTAGGGGAAACCAGAAGAGTACAGGAATGAAACTGAATCTCCTCTTGAATTTACATTTTATCTTTTTGACTGATTACCTGGATAAGGAATAAATATGAGAGAGTATTAAGTATACTACTTATTCAGCAACTGTCAAGCAGCCACTGGACACAGTATAGACTCTTAAGAGTGTGTATTCTCCTCTCACCTGCTGTCACCTCCTTCGTCGATGCTGTCAGGCTTGCTGTTGTTCATGAGGTTGGACCTGTTGACGCTAAGGCCAATAAGGCCTGGCAGCTGGCCTGGTCTGATGGGCTTGGCTGGGTTGGACACAGAGAGATAACGCAGGTCACATACAGAAAGCAGGTTGAGCCATCATGATAGTTAAGGTGTACAGATATTTCTCATTTCTTTAGTTGAATTTAAAGGACTAGTTTGGCATTTCAGGAAATACGCTTACTTGCCTTCTTTTTAAAGGCCAAAACAAACCGTCACCAAATGGTAACACACCCAACAAAGGCGGCTAGTTTGTGTGTTGGCTCCGAATCCCCTACGGCTGTGACACATTTGTAGGACATTTAGTTGTGTGTGTGCACCTACCTATCGAGGCTCTCCTGCCCATGTTTTTGGGCTTGACAGTGTCCTTAATGCGCTCCATCTCCTCCTGGTGGCGCTTTCGCTCGCGGGCTGCGTTCTCCTGGGCCTCCTTTAGTGCAGTCTCCAGGGCCTTGATCCGCTCAGCGGTGGCCCGCAGGCGCTTCTCCATTTTAGGCAGCTCACCGCGGAGGTCGGCGTTGTCCCGCAGCAGCTACAGAGGGGAAAACAGATAACACAAAGAGTGAGAGGAGACGAAGCAGCGCCGATAGACACAAAATCCGTTGAAAGCCACTGCTATGATTAGTTCAGGGAGGAAGCACCGTGGTTATTCTGTGTTTGGATGTATTTATACCTGCTTGTGAACTTTGGTGAGCTGCTCGAGGTTGTTCTCCAGGAAGCAGATCTTCTGTTTCTGGGCAGCGCTGTTTTCTGCGTCATCCATCTGACCGTTCTAATGAGGCACAACACACAGCTTTATCTCTACACTTATTTCCATCCATGTTTTAGTTTTGCGTTCATTTATCCATTTACCTCTGTACAACTGATTTGTTGCGTTCAGTTGCTGCAACCCAGCATCTGAAATAAGGTCTGTTATCACAACCCCTGAATCCAAAGCATCCCATTTGTGGCTAAATGAAATGATAAGCAGCAGATTTGGGATGGGTAAAACATCATTGCATATTCTGTGTCCTGCAGGAAAGCCTGCTTTGCCTTTGTTTATCTCATCAAGCCGCAGCCTGAGGGCTGGAGATGAGCGCCACGCCGAGAGCCTGGGTCCCTAATTTACAGCTGCTACCTTTGAAGAATCAGATGGCCTACTTATTGCAGACACTTTGTTGTGTTCCCCGGATTCATTAAAATTTCATCATGGTGCAAATTAAATGGAGTGCAGCCGGTGCACGAGCCAAGTACGGCTGTGTTTGTCTCATTCCAGGTGAACGTCGCGGTCGGGGCTACAAGAGCTCATGTGATATTACACTGGATGGGAGATTAAATCACACACTAAACCACATGACAGCAGAATGATTACAGTGATAATGTACCATGAGCAGCTTCCAGAGATGGGAGGGTGTGTACATACTGTCAGGGCTTTTACCTTTTTGACTCGTGTGGCCAAGTCTTGGACAAAAAGCCTCCTGAGGTTGTGGAGTGTCTGCAGCTCTCGGGCCTGTGTGACAGCACAAGGAAACACACTTAGGAGAAAGGAAGTGTTTGGAGACGTTAAAGGGTTGGTTCAATCAAATAAAATGCAACCCAGATTTTTTCTGTGTTTGAAGATATCCTTACCTGCATCCACCCCGGTGCAAGTGCAGCAAATGAAATGCAAATCCAAACAGCGTATTGATATAGAAAATCTGATCCAGTCACATACAGGAAGTACTGCTGCTTAAAGTGACGCTTTTTGGTCATATTCATATGAAACGCCATGACCCCAATTATTGCAAATGAAGAATTCTGCTTAACTAATGTGATTGTTATGATTATTCTACAACGAGTCATGATGGTTGCTTGGGTGCTGTTTTTTAATAATCATTTTAGAATAGGTTTAGAATTGTCCATTTAAAGAAATACTTCACCTGCAAAGTTTCAGTTTGTGTATCAGTTTCTTGCCACATGTTACCTTGAATTTGTGGAGAAAGACTTGGTTGCCTTCACTGTGAATGGAGAATCCAAAAAAGGTGCACATCCTTTATGAATTGAAGTCAATGGGGACCATGTTTAACAACAGCAAAACTACCATAAAACTTAAATTGTAATTGTTTTACTAGCCGGGTGTAGCTACACATTTTCACGATAAACGCTGGTCTCAATTAGATGTCAGGTCTGGTTGCCAAGCAATTCATTTTTATAGAAGTTATTTGGATGTATGAAACTCTTTTGAAGTCCACTGAGTTGTTGGCTATGTTTGAGCCATTCAAATTTTAAATCTTTAAACTTTTGTCAGGATGGACATGCTAAACATCGTTAGCTCGGCTAGATTCTCCACAATAAATTTCAAAAAAATCATTCAGATTTAACAGCACGGTAAACAAGAGAGACAAAAAAAAGGTGGTGACTCCCGACCTCTGAATTGGTCATAAAGCCCAAATGTGTCCAATCATTGATTACCTCATAAGTTATTTATGTCCCTTTAGTCCATAAGGCTTGTTAGAGCCATTTCTGGCAAGTTCTATGCTGTGTCTCAAATCGTGTACTTCTGTACTTACACTTAATATTTTGAGTGTATATTTATTGATTGATTGATTGATTGATTTGTTTGTCAAGTGTCATGCACGTTAAAGTGCCCAGCCCACACGGGCTTACAAGACACTACACAATATATGTACAAACAATTCAAAGATGGCAAAAACAAGAATCTTATGTATCCATCGTCATCGAAAAAACAAAAAAGGCAAAGTATTGTACTCTTATGTAGGATACAGTGTTTTCTGTCTTAATGTCCATGCTTTTTCAATAAATCTAGCTAAGACATAGATCTCTTCCTTGAAGAACCAACTCAACATATCAAATTCAGACATCCAAAATAAGTCGGGATTCTTCCCCTGAACTTTTTCAAACAAAGATTTCCTCAAGTCATTGTACAAAGGGCAATGAAACAAGAAATGAAATTCATCCTCAACAATATCAAGATCACACAAAACACAAATACGCTGCTCTTCAGGGAAACCCTTATACCTGCCCACTTCAATCGCCAGGGGCAAGGTACCAGATCTTAATTTTGCACACAAGGACCTCTGACCTCTCCCTAAATTTAAGGTTAAGTATGGTTCTGTATAGTAGTCCTATTTAATTTGAACATAGCTTCTAAGTTTGGGTTTCCTCCAAATCTCCTGCTTCCATTGTTTCTTATGGAGATTAAATAGTTTTTGTTTAACTGTATCTATCTTACACTGCAGGTTATTACTCAAAATATAATATAAATCAGAGTGAGAGAATACTGCAGAGACATCTCTTGACCAAGGGAAATTATGGGCTCGATCCCATTTAAAAATCTTTTTGGTTAGCCTTTCGTCTGGCAGCCGAAGAAGTCGGTTCCAGAGCCGAACCATTTCGCATCTTTGCTTAACAAGACAGGATTCCCAACCTGTGTCCCCATCAACAACACCCTTTGCAGTGAATTTATGAACTCCAAGATAGCACCTCAGGGCGCGACTCTGAATTGTGTTACTTTCAGGGGAATCCCTAAAGCCCCATATTCCAGCCGCATAAAATAAGACTGAGCCAACCATTGAATTGAAGAGCTTAGAAAATGTTAGAAACCCAAGACAACTGGACAACTTTTGAAAATAAGGATATTATAAAAGTGAGGACAATTTAGGCTGTGAATGAATTTGTGGATAACTGGG